CCCAAGAGCCAGGATATCTACCTGCGGCTGCTGGTCAAGCTGTACAGGATTCTGGCCAGGGAAACCAACTCCACATTCAATCAGGTTGTGCTGAAAGGGTTATTCATGAGTCGCACCAACTGGCCACCTCTGTCCCTGTCCCAGATGATCCGAAAGATGAAGCTTCCTGGCCAGAAAACAAGATGGCTGTGGTTGTGGGGACAGTCACAGATGACGTGAGGATTCTCGATGTGCCCAAACTGAAGGTGTGTGCCCTGCGGGTGAGCAGCCGGGCCCGAAGTCGCATCCTCAGGGCTGGGGCTAAGATCCTCACCTTTGACCAGCTGGCCTTGGAGTCTCCCAAGGGCCGTGGCACTATGCTCCTGTCTGGACCTCAAAAGGGCAGAGAGGTGTACCGGCATTTTGGCAAGGCCCCAAAAACCCCACAAAGCCATACATAACCCTATGTCCGCTCCAAGGGCCGGAAGTTTGAACATGCCAGAGGCAGAAGGGCCAGCCGCGGCTACAAAATTTACTAACCCTGGATCTTACTGTTATTAAAAAGCTTTGGATATTGCAAAAAAATTTAGAATGTTGCACAAAAATGAAAATAATGACTTTATACTCCACTCCCAGAAAAAGACTACGTTAAAAAATGTTGACATTAAGACAATAACTATACGTCCTGTATTTAAAACATGCTATCCTTCATGAATTTTGCTTATGAGCTCACTAAGACTCAATCACCTGTCCTTTATGAAAAGTCCAACTTTACAAGTATTACCTTTGAATTGCATTTATTTTTATGTGCAGTGGTAATGTATAACAAACCAAACGTGCTATTAAAGTAAAATATATTCTAAAGACTTACACAAAGATTTTATTTTTACATTTTAAAGTGGCTAAAAATTTAAATTTACTATGCAGCACTTATCAAACTGACTCGTGCTAAGAGGAACCAGGTGTCGTCATTTCACCTGCACCTTCCACAGGGTTCAGCAGCAGCACACCGTGCAGACACCAAATGTGCTTCCATGGACAGTGCCCTCTCCAGCAAGGGGGTGTAGGACAGACTGCGAGAGACACTTGAAAACACAGGCTACAGCTTTGATGGGACACTATCATACATTTATGTTCTCTATTTTTTGTGATTGTAAGATATAATAGCTATTTAATACATTTTTTCAGTTGGACATTATATTCCTTTTTCAATAGAAAAGCTAAAACTTCTTACATTACTTAGAACTTTAGACCTGCCTAAAATTAAGACTATCATTTTCTAGACCTAGCCTACCTTTAGGGAAACATTAATCTACTCCATTACTTGTCATTTTATCTCAAGTCCAAAATGACCAAGAAAACTTGCTGTTTCCCTGTGCAGAAATTACAACTGTCATCTAAATTACTGAGGATGTTCTATACTGAGATTGTTCACACTAGGAGGCCCACATTTCTCTGCCCATTTCATGAAAAGAGCTGATTTTCTCTCATATAGAAAATGTAATGTACACATCTAATGCACAAAATGTGACTGAAGATGAATTCTTCTCTTTTTCCACTGTAACGTAGGACAAAGAACTTTTGGGGTAAACCTTGCTAATCATAGTCTTCTGATATGATGGAACCTACTCATGAGTCACCTAAATTGTGATTCCTTAAAGGTTTTTGTTAAAATACACCATCATTAATGTTCTTTTTCCTGTTAGTTCAGGGCATTTTTCCTTTCAGTCCATTGGTCACCACTCAAAAGTGACGGGGGCAGAAGCAGCAACTTGGAGCTTTGGATTGCCTGTGAACATGACAGAAATAGCCTTCTGTGAAGAAGTTTCTGGGAGGCCTCAGAATTTCAGTTTGCAGAGAGGGGAGATATAAAGGATGGGGACAGTGACTGATTCATCACATAATTTGCATTATACAGAACAATCCTATCATAATGTTCCCAGCACAAGTCTTAGTTATCATAGGTTGCAGGACGGTCCTATCAAATAGGTCCTAGTAAAATATCTAATTACCATTTTGGTAATTAGAAAAAAAATCTTCTGCAAAGAACTGTGTTAATAGTTACATTAAATACAAATTAGACATTTAGGACAGGAGACAGTTCCAAATAAGGTTAAAGATAGAAAAGGGTGCCTTCCACTAGGGCGGCATGTGTGTTGGAGGGATTCCTCCATGTTGCCAAGCTCAGAGACTGCTGTCAGGCTATGGTAGATTGAAAGCTCTGACCAGCAGGGCCTCTCACCATCTCTCACCATCTATCCAGGTTTGTTATGTAAACCTTGTGTCCCAAAGTTTGATGTGTATGCATTTGGAATTGTTATTGGTGAATCATCTCCTTTATGGCTGCCGTTATATGTTTGACTCAGCATTGTTTAAATTCTAATGTAACAGATATCAACAGAACTGTGACAGCTTGGTTTGGGACCCCCATTTCCTTGTTAGATTTGCTTCCATTACTTGACTCTCAGCACATGTATATTTTTAACAGTTAGATGTGTTTCTTGGAGAAAACAGACAGTTGGGTATAGTTTTTTAGCCTGGTCCAACAATATGTGTATAATTTTTATTAAATTGTGCACACATGATTATTATTAAATGCTATTAATTTCTATCATTTTGTTGAATTTTCTTTATGTGTTAGATTTTTGATAGTTTGTTTTCTTTTCTTCCTATACCTCGACTGTATTGGAGTTTCTGATTTACACCATTGGACATACTAATATCTGTTTTCCTGATAATTGTTATTTATCTATTCCTCTCATGGCATTAATATTTTTCTATGCTCTCATGATTAGATGATCTTTGTTTTCTTCTGTGTGCATATTATTTTGATAGTGTATATGTGTATTTGTTAGCATAGGTGTTTGTATGTGTGAGAGATAGTGATATAAAAGAAGAAGGGAGACTGGGAAAAAAAGAGATAGCAGAAAAGCGAAGTAGTAATGGGAAAGATTAGCATATATGTTCAAAATATAGGATATACTGAAAAAGTTGCTTTAAGAATATTGTGTACTTTTAGCTCCTTTATCGAAAATCAGGTGTTCATAGTTTGTGGGTTAAAGTCAGGGTCTTCTTTTCGATTCCATTGGTCGACTTCTCTGTTTCTATGCCAGTACCACACTGTTTTCAATACTGTAGCTCTGTAATAGAGTTTGAAGTCAGGGATGGTAATTCCTAAAGACGATCCTTTATTGTATAAGATTGTTTTGGCTATCCTGGGATTTTTGTTTTTCCATATAAAGCTGATTATTGTCTTCTACAGATCTGTGAAGAATTTTGATGGGATTTTGATGGGGATTGCATTGAATCTATAGATTGCTTTTGGTAGAATTGCCATTTTTACTATGTTGAACCTCCCAATCCAAGAGCAAGGGAGATCCTTCCATTTCCTGGTATCCTCTTCAATTTCTTTCTTCAATGCCTTAAAGTTCTTGTCAAATAGATCTTTCACATCCTTGGTCAGAGTTACCCCAAGATATTTTATGCTATTTGTGGCTATCGTGAATGGTGATGCTTCTCTGATTTCCCTATCTGCTTCCTTATCCTTAGTGTATAGGAAGGCAACTGATTTTTTGGAGTTAATCTTGTATCCTGCCACATTACCAAAGGTATTTATCAGCTGTAGGAGTTCTTTGGTGGAGTTTTTGGGGTCGTTCATGTATACTATCATATCATCTGCAAATAACGAACGCTTAACTTCTTCCTTTCCAATATGAAACCCCTTGATCTCCCTATGTTGTCTTATTGCTATTGCTAGAACTTCAAGCACTATATTGAAGAGGTATCGAGAGAGTGGACATCCTTGTCGTGTTCCTGATTTTAGTGTGATGGCTTTGAGTTTTTCTCTGTTTAATTTAATGTTAGCTGTTGGCTTGCTGTAAATAGCTTTTATTATATTTAGGTATGACCCTTGTATCCCTAATCTCTCCAAAACCTTTATCATAAAGGGGTGTTGAATTTTGTCGAATGCTTTTTCAGCATCTAATGAAATGATCATATGTTTTTTTTCTTTCAGTTTATTTATATGGTGGATTACATTGATAGATTTGCGTATGTTGAACCAGCCCTGCATCTCTGGGATGAAGCCTACTTGTTCATAATGGATAACTTTTCTAATGTGTTCTTGGATACGGTATGCCAATATTTTGTTGAGGATTTTCGCATCGATGTTCATGAGTGATATGGCTTGTAATTCTCTTTCTTGGATGGGTCTTTGTGTGGTTTTGGTATCAGGGTAACTGTCGCTTTGTGGGAGCCTAGGCAATTTGGATGCTTACCTTACTAGACCTGGAAGGAGTTGGGTGGTCCTTGGACTTCCCCCAGGGCAGGGAACCCTGATTGCTCTTGGGCTGACGAGGGAGGGGGACTTGATCAGGGGAGAAGGAGGGAAATGGGAGGCGGTGGCGGGGAGGAGGCAGAAATCTTTAATAAATAAATAAGAAAAAGAAAATTGTGTATAATGAATTTACATTAATAAAATAATTTAAAGGACTGCAAGATGGCTCACATACCAAAGATGCTTGACAGCAATCCTGTTAACAAACATGATTTGTTTCCCAGAGCCCAAATGACAAAGGGACAATCAAGTCCAAGCTGGTATCTGATCTCCAGAACAAGGTCATGTCACATGTGCACCTAGAAATATGCACACACTTGCTCACCAAAAACAAATGCACACTCACATTGACAAATAATTACTTAATCTACTAAAAATGTAGTTGAAGTTTAAAGAAAAAAAACAGAAGAGATTGTAACCATTAAGAATGTAAGAAAACCTTAAAGATATGGAAAAGTGAAGAAAAAAACCTTTCCTACAGCTTCCAAATCAAAACACAATTTGTCACCACCATCACTTCAGCTTAGAGAGTCCTATGATGGATACCAGAAATCCCGAACTATAGAAATATAAATCCCTCATATTCAAGCAACAGAGTTTGTGGTATTGGGGCACAAAAGATATAGAAAGATAATACTGAATTCTCCTCTGCATTTTCACATACAGTATTTTCATACCTAAAGAATTAAGAGACATTTAAACCGTATATCTTGCCCAGGTCTGAAAATATTTTGATCAGAGTTTGAGGCTCACTGGCAGAAGGGAGAAGTGTGCGGGTGCAGGACAGCCTGTGGTGCAGGCAGCTGTTGAGAGTCTCAGAAGTGTTTGTTGGAGGCTGAAGCACTGTGGGAGGATAACTGTAATGCTGCATACAGTAATAGTCTGCCAGATCTTCAGCCTGGACACTGCTGATCGTGAGAGTGAAATCTGTCTCAGATCCACTGCCTGTGAAGCGATCAGGGACCCCAGTGTGTCGAGTGGATTCAAAGTAGATTAGCAGTTTAGGAGACTGCCCTGGCTTCTGCTGGTACCAGCTCAAGTAGTTCTTTTGATCTTTACTGTATAAAAGACTCTGACTGGACTTGCAGCTGATGGTGACTTTCTCTCCTGTTGACACAGCAATGGATGATGGAGACTGGGTCATTACGATATCTGCACAGGCACCTGCAATAAGGAATACAAAATGAAGATTTATAATATGCAATCACATAATATAGTAACAGTTGAAATTGATCATTTAATAACCTTGGAATGTCACCTTGTCAGTGTATATCTTACTCAATACTCTAAAAACATTATGTCCTAGCACACATATTAAACTTCTGATATACAAAGAAGTGATTCTGAAAAAAAATTATAGCATTTCTCACCAGACACCCAGAGCAGCAGGGACATGAGGACATTTGTTTGTGACTTCATCTTGCTCCTCCTGCCAATCTCATGCATCTCAGTTCACACTGTAAAAGTCTGGTTTATAAATTCTTAGCAGCTGGGCTGACCAGGAAGGACCCATGCAAAGCAGTCAGCAAATACATAAGGAAATGTCTGAGCAGTGTGATTGAGTGGCTAGTGACAATCAACAGACAAAAATAACACAAAAGGCAGAATGATCACTGAAAGACATCAGCTTATAGCTCTCCAACAGAAATATATTAGGTACTTTAATAACAACATTGTCTTAAAATCCAAGACATATTAACCCAATGTGCTGTTGCAGAAGTGTTAGGAAAACTATCTCAGATTAACAGCACTAGGGAAATGATAAAATATGCTCAAAAATTCACAACAGCAAAAGAAACATAGAATAAGAAAACATGAAGTACAAGAAGGGATGATTGGAGAGGGGAAAAGTGGAAAAGCATGTAAGAGAAAATTGAGGCTAAATGGGTTTGTTATCATTCATGTGTAAAGTCACCCTTATGCTGAGTGCACATTGTTCTCCATTTTCCAGACTAATAGAGGAATAGAAATACAAAGAGTACCCCAGAATTCACTATGTGGAAATCCTGGGGAACATTAATTTAAGATTGCAATGAGAAAAGTGTTCATCTCAAAGCAAAGGTAAAACCAGCAGGAACAAAGAAGTATTTACTCCCCACAACATCAGGAAATTGAAACAGGACTCTAAGTTTGGGAAGAATGAAGGGAAACAAAATGGAATGGATATCTTCAAGTAGTCATCGCTGTATTTCTTGCTTGATAACTGTTTTGTTATATGTAATTTTACTATGTTAAAGTTAAAACCTTTCTTTTCATTTAAAGAGAAAAGGGGAGGTGATGTGGGAGTCCCCTCTGTGTGCTATGATTACCATTAATGAATAAAGAAACTGCTTTGGACCTATAGCAAGGCAGAACTTGGGTAGGTAAAGAACACTAAGCTGAATGCTTGGAGGAAGAAGAGCAGAGTCAGAGAGAAGTGATGGAACCTCCACCACAGAAAGACACACTGAAACTTTGCTGGTAATCCTCGACATCGTGGTGATATACAGATTACAATAAATGGGTCAAATTAATATAAGAGGTAGCTAATAAGAAGCTAGAGATGATGGACCAAGCTGTGATTTAATTAATACAGTTTCTGTGTGTTTATTTCATGGCTTGGCAGCAGGAAACAACCAAGCAGGCTCCATAGAACAGATTGGCATTCACATGGCCAACTTAAATTCACTTATTATTTTGAGTCTAATCTTGCTGGGCAGTAGGAAGAACAAGCTCCCTCCCCTAACATCTGTCTTCATGCTCATGAAGTGCCTTACTTTTTGTTTGTCTTATATTATTTTATGAAGACCTTTGTTAGTACTTATATATGACTGTACAGTGGATCATTATTTTTCAAAAGCTGTGCCAACAGTGTCATCGTTTTGCTGATAGTTTCTGGCATCGGTGACTTTACCAGAGGACACTGAAAATATATATCAGATGGTGCAAAACCTATCAAATGAGGGGAAAGCAAGTCAAATAATCCCAAGCTAACTCCAAATAGAGCATTCCAAGGTTTTTCTTTACTAGAAGGGAACTCACAGATAATAGCAAATAAATAAGAATGGGGTCTAACATTCAGGTGTAATTTGTGGGGAAAAGAAAGAAGAGTGGGTGGCCTTGCCCACCCCAAAGCCATACATCAACCTGTCCAGCCTCTCAAAGACCATTGGCTGGAAGAGATTCACCATCAAGCAGATTGTAGTTCAAGGTCTACTCAACAGATGAGCAACTATCTGATAGAGAATCTCGTAAAACAAGGCTTAAAAGACTATTGCCTATAAATAACTGTCTGTCTGTATTTCTTTTACATGCACATGTTCCTTCCCTAATAACAACTATGGATATTTTTTTCCATTGCTTTTTTGTTTATCTTTGAAAATATTCCATCTTCAAGGCAAAAATATGGCTGGGGATGAACAAGAAGATGATTTCTGCTTATATGTATAATTCTGATGAATAGAAATTATACTAGGATAACTTGCATTACTTGAACTGAGTATTACTGAAAGTAATAGTATTATCAGTCACAAAGATAGCTAATTTTAGACTTTAGAACAAATAAAAAAAACTGGTTGTCCCCAGAGATGAATACACATGGAAAACTTTCCAGGGGTTTATTGTAGTTTCAAGGTCAGGCATGAAGCAGCTTTGGTAGACATAACAGCCAGTAATAAAGGACTCCTGTACATACTCCTAACCTTAAAGACAAAACAACTAATTGTTTATTTTTCAAGTCCTTTATTACAATGTCACTGTCTGTCTGGGAACACTGATCCCTCAGAATTATATGCTTAATTTACTAACCATTCCCAGTCAGCACAACCTCCCTAGCCTGAGAGAAACTGTGTAATCTCTATGGCTCTCTTTTGTATTGTTTACTTAAGAAAGTGCCGTGTGACCATAAAATGTGATCCATATTTGTCCAGAGGCTTTGCTGGGAATGGAGAAAAATGTTATAGAAATGAGACTCTCTCTCTCTCTTTCTCTCTGTGTGTGTATAGATGCATGCTGAAAGGAATATGTAGCTTTACATGCAGACACACACACACACATACACACACACACACAGAGAGAGAGAGAGAGAGATTGAGAGAGAGAGAGATTGAGAGAGAGAGAGAGAGAGAGAGAGAGAGAGAGAGAGAGGTGTGAAGACATGTACCTGATGAGTAGGTAGAGAGATATCGAACTTGTAACTGTTTCACAGACAGATATGTCTGTAGGAGAGAGTCAAGTGAAGGAAGAAGTATATGACAGTGTGGAGAATGAAACTGTGTGGAAACAGATGTGGCTGTGTAAAGGAGAAATGTGAAGGTAAGTGTCTCTGAGGAGACTATATGGAGAATGTATGGAGGGGTGTAACTCTGGAAGTAGTTGCAACTAGAGATGGATTGCAGTGTAGGAGGGAATTTTATATATGTGAAAAGAAATAGATAGCTGTCCGTAAAGTGATGTAACTATGTAGAGACAGAGAGATTTTTAGAAAGAAAATTTTCAAGATGAAGTAAAATAAAAAGGTACCATCATAAAACATATATATTTGATTTTTTTACTCACAGAAATAAAAGTCTAGCACTCAGATAAATATGAACTTCTTGTAAGTCCCAGCTAATCTGAAGACATTCTTTTTGCCACTCTGAGTACAGTCCTGGGAGCTCTTATCTCAGGCTGCAGTCATTTTCATCTCCCCTCCAATAAGGTCACTCAAACCCAAGTTCCAACCAATATTCTTGCTGTATTCACTGCATCTGCAAGAACAATGGCACATCTGCAACTACTATTGCATTGCCCACAGTGCATCTAGTATGGAGTATAATTCTGTGCAGAATTTTTCCAGCTTCTGATTTTAAGTGTGAAACTCTCTTTTCATTGTTCAGCTTCTTTTTTTTTAACTCAGTTTCTACTACTTGCTGTGTATGTTCCATGAGCTGCTACATTTCTTGTTCTCTCTGCTTATAATCCATCTGCTTAATCATCCTTTCTAAGACCATGAAATGTTTCATCCCTGGTGTATGGTTTTCATTGACTTCTTTTGCTTCTCCCTAGTGTTTTGTAACATGTCCTGTAGGATTTCTTCTCCAATTTGAGAAATCAAGGATTCTTTTTTATACTGCAGATCATTTACTTGACCCTTGAGATGTTTTGTAAGTATTTCTTGAGTTCTGATTTTGTGACTCAGTTTGACTACTTTGGAAGAGGATTTTTCTAAGACATTTTGGTAAAAGTGTTTCTCTATTTGTCTCTACGGAGATTCTTGTGCCATTTAATATGTGCACAATGTCATCTAATGCATGATACAATAAAATTCAGGGAAAGGAGTTGTGCTTAAACTTGAGGACCACAAAAGTCAAGCAGCCAGCCACTTACTCTTACCTCAACCTCAGTCCTAAAATGGCAATCCTGCCTCCAGAAATCTCAGAATGATACTGTATCTGAGAGATGTTTCTTTCCATTTTATAATCCTCTCTAGTTCTAGGATTAAAGGCAAGCCCTGCCTGATTTCTATGGCAACTAACTAAACTAATGTAGATACTGGAATTAATGATGTGTGTTATCACTGCCTTGCTGTGAGGCTGACCAATGTGGCTGTTTCACTCTCCTGAACACCAAGCAAGCTTTGTTTGTTAAAATACAATTGAAATGCCACTACAGTCACCTGCAAACATTTTCATGAAGTTTTAAAAATGTTCTTTGAAGTTTCATATTATATCATCACATTATTTCTCTCTGAAATCAACTTGTCTAATTTATTTCTCAACTTGCAGTTTTCTCATAGAACCTCTGATATTCAGGAATGAGTAAAGGCATAGTGATGGAACAGTTTGGTATGAAGATTTATAGAGAAAGAGATTGCATTTCCCCATTTGGTTGTAAAAGGTTTTTCATCATCCATTCCACAAACATATCATCAGAGCAAGGGACTGAGCTTCCACTGTTCAGTTGAAGAGCAGAAGGAGGGAGAAGATTAGCAAGGAAGTCAGGACCACTAGGGTTTGGTCCACCCACTGAGGCAGTGTGCCTCTTCTAATGGGAGCTCACCAAATCCAGCTGGACTGGGACTGAATGACCATGTGATCAAACTGGACTCTGTGGATGTGGCTGACAATGGGGGCTGGCTGAGGAGCCATTGATAAAGGAACTGGGACTTGTTTCTACTGCATGTACCGTCTTTTGGGGACCCTCATCTATTTGGATGCACAGCTTCCTAGGCCTGGATGTAGTGAGGAGGGCCTTGGACTTCCCACAGGGCAGGGTTCCCTGCCCTCTCTTAAAGAGGGATGGGGAGGGAGGAGCGTGAGCGGGGGCAGGAGGGAGGAATGTAGAGAGCTGTGTGGAGCCATGCCCAAAAGATGGCGCTGGCTTCTGCCCTCCATGATCCCGAAAGTGAGGGCTCTCTGATAAACAATTCCTTATTGGCTAAGACCAGACTCTTGTGATCA